TTATCGTAAAGTTTCATTAAAATCCAATTAGTAGTTTTTGTGTACTAAGCTGTATAAGTTGTTATAGTTTTTTAACTATCCCACGGGAACTCTTTAATTTTCCGGGATGAAAAGTATCTAAGATGTTGCACGGGGATATAAGGTACCTCCATGCAAAATTTTATTTAAATCGGTCCAATAGATTCGGAGATTAGCCCCTACACAGGAACACAGGTAAAGAGCTCGCTCGGGTTCGTCCATACCTACGAATATGTTGTATTATCTCTTTAACCATTTGTCCAAATTATATGCAGTAAAAGGGAAAAGTCTTTTGTTTTAAATATTTTAGACGATAAATTTACTTATTTTGATAAGAATTCATAATTGTTGATAATATGACCAATAAACATGACCTACCGATTTAAGTTATTTTTTTAATATAAAAAACTACTTTTTGTGACTTAAATATAAAAGTTAGACATATGCTGTCGCTGACTTTTTTGTAGGCATTATTAAGCTCTACAACTTTTCTCTAGAACATAATCATATATCTCTCACCGTTAAGGCAGCGTTCGTAAGAAACCTTTTCGTTCGACCGTTTTTTCTCCGACTTACTTTGCAAATCCGACTACCACGAAAAAGCCTTTTCATTCTTCGCGTTAATATATAGCCTATGACACTCAGAAAGAACGTGGCTTTCTATTGGTAAAAGAATTTTGAAAATCGGTTCAGTAGATCCAGAGATTACCCCCTACAACGTCACAAACTCACAAACTCACAAACTCACAAACCCACAAACTCACAAACTCACAAGATCACAAACTTTACCTCTTTATAATATTAGTATAGATAAGTTAGGTACCACATCCTCATTACCTCCTTGTTCGTCTGTTACCACACTTGTTCCGTGGTGTGATGGTCAAATTATACTCCAAGTCATTGTTACTATTATTTGTAAAGTGTTAATGCCTCATTACAGTCTCCTAAAGTTACTGCGTCTAGTAAAATGTAAAATAATTGCAATAAATTCTTACTTTATAACTAAAAAAAAAAAATTACTATACTCGTGGCCTTTGTATCTAAATTGGCACAAAAAGTAACAAAAGTATCAAAAACTCGCGTCGAGCTATACACTTCGCTACACTCACGATACATCGCGTGACGTCAGCAATTGCGGGAGCGCAGCCGCAGAGCAATACATCTACCTCTAGAAGCGCTCGGCGCAGTCTGCCTAGTGCCTAACTTAATGCCTATGCTGACTCGAAGCTTGCGTCGAGTATTAAATTAATTATAATTATTGCAAATTTCGGTCCTTTTAAAAGATTTTTTTGACAGTATAGTTTTTAACATTTTTTTTAAAGAAATGAGTAGTCCTTGAACAGTTCATTTCTATAGTTTTCTTTTTATGAACGAGCGTTCTATGTAGCCAAATGTACCATAAATGCTTTACGTATTTTCTTTAAAATTTGTCTGAGTTTAATATTTATTTACTAAACAATTTTAGAAAGTTCTAAAAACTGATTCATACATTGTATACAACGCTTTTACAACAATACATTGTAGTTTTTTCATATTATTTAGAGGTCAACACTAATCTTATCCTATTATCTTTATTTTAACTTTAATTCATTCACCAGACCAGTGCAAGTCACTAGTATCTATTTACTTGTTTATAGTTATACCCAAGAGTTGTGACGGGAAAAAAATAGTCAACCTAACGTTTGCATATTCTAGCTTCATATTCTCGAATGATATGGAATTTCCAAACCAGTGAAATGTTTAAAAAAAATATTTTAAATTGTTAATTAATCATATTCTGGACTGAAATTTTTTAGTCAACCCATTTGCAATATATTCATTGTTTGATATAAAATAATCTTCATCCATTAACCAGCTCTTCTTTCATTTCATTCTTATACTGGGATCTTAGACCATATCGTTATGACAATAAACTTGATGCGATAATATATTGTAAATCAAGTCATAAAATAAATATGACATATTTTATTATTTTATAAACACTGATGTGATGTAATTTTACTATCCATTCTTACTTTGCATGTAAGTACAGCCGAAGTCTGCTTCTCTTCTTCCAATCCGTAGAGCTGTGCGGATGCTATAACTGATGTGGTGCATCAAGCGATGGAATATTTTATCCCGTTCTCTGATGTACCCGTTGGTGGCAAAGCTCGCCCATGGTTTAATGCCGAATGCACCATTGCTGAAAAGCGTAAGCAATCGGCTTACCTTGCCTGGGTTGATGCTCGAGACCGCAAAGCTCCGAATGTAAGATCCAAGAAGAGAGCCTTTAACTTGGCCGCTAAGTCCTACAAAAAGACATTAAAGAAGGCTCGTCTTGACCGAACTACACATCTTGGCGCAAAGCTCTGTGCCCAACCATCTGGCAGCAGAGCTTTTTGGTCCCTTGCCAAAGCGGTCGAGACGAACTTCTCTCGGCCCTCACTGCCACCGCTGGTAAAATCTGACGGATCCCTGGCTCATACGGCAGAGGAAAAGGCGACTTTGCTTGCCTCTCTTTTTGCCCAAAATTCATGTCTAGACTCTGGCAATGCCATTCCACCACATCTACCTCACTGCGGGATCTCAATGCCTGAAATCTGCATAACTAATAAGGAGGTAAAGAGAGTATTGTGTAGTCTAGATGTGAATAAAGCCAGTGGTCCTGATGGTATACCAGCGATAGTGCTTAAAACTTGTGCTCCCGAGTTGTCTCCGATACTGACACGTCTGTACCGCCTTTCTCTTAAGACTGGAATAGTACCTAAATCCTGGAAGCTTGCCAACGTGCAACCAGTGCCCAAGAAAGGAAGCCGTGCTGACCCTACCAATTATCGTCCAATCTCAATCACCTCCATACTCTGCAAGATTATGGAGCGTGTATTGAACACACGTCTTATGGCATACCTAGAACAAAACGACCTCCTCAGTGATCGACAATATGGGTTTCGCCGGAACCGGTCAACTGGGGACCTTCTAGTGTGTGCCAATCACATCTTTGGCGAAGCTCTTGAGCGAAGCGGGGAGGCGATTGCCGTCTCCCTCGATGTCTCAAAGGCCTTTGATAGGGTCTGGCACGATAGCCTTATAAGCAAGCTTGCAGCCTATGGCATATCTCCTGGCCTGATCCGCTGGATTAAAGACTTCCTGAGCGACCGATCACTCAGAGTTGTGGTTGAGGGTTGTTCATCACAACCCTTAAAGACCAACTCAGGAGTTCCTCAGGGGTCTGTTCTCTCTGCAACCTTGTTCCTGCTGCATATTAACGATCTGCTTATACCCGGTATCTATGGGTACGCAGACGACAGCACTATTGTAGAGAGGTACCTGCCGAATCCTCGGGCCAGTAGAGATCAAATTCAGTCCGAAAGAGAGTCAACACTCAGGACAGTCTCCACTTGGGGTGATGCCAATCTTGTGAGTTTCAACGCCACCAAAACACAGGCGTGCCTGTTCACATCAAAACGGAGTCCTTTCACCTTGACCCCTACTTTCCGGAATGTGCCTCTGGAATACACTGACCGTCTGCAGTTGTTGGGCATGGACATTCGCCCCAATATGAACTACGGGCGGTTCATTGAGTCTAGGGCTAATGTCGCAGCGAGGAAAGTTGGCATACTAGCAAAGGTCCGACAGTATTTCACACCGGGACAGCTTCTTGTTTTATATAAAGCTCAAGTCCGGTCGTGTGTGGAATACTGTAGTCACATTTGGGCTGGTGCAGCGAAGTGCCATCTGTCAGCCTTAGACTCAATTGAGAGGCGTGCCCTCAGGCTTATTGGTGACCCTACGCTAGTAAAAGCTAACTTACAAAGCCTCGATCACCGACGTAGGATTGCCATCCTTTGTGTATTCTATAGGTTACATTTCGGAGAGTGTGCGCAGGAACTACACGGCTTGATTCCTCCATCTCCTTTCTACCATCGGACAACCCGACGAACGGCTGGTCTCCATCCTTATGTCGTGGACATTCCACCCGTCCGGACGAAGCGTTTCGCTACGTCATTCATTATACGTGCGGCTAAGGATTGGAACAACCTGCCGGCGTCGGTGTTTCCGTCCGAGTACAACATGGGTGTCTTCAAGGCAAGAGTGAATAGGTGGCTACTGAATTAGTGTGACTTACCATCTACGACTGCGTTACCACTTACCATCAGGTGGAACGCAGTCAAGCACTAATTCAGAATACAATAAAAAAAAAAAAAAAGTATTAAGTATGTATGTGACTGTGGCTTCATACACACGACTTTTAGGCCATTTTAAAAGAAAGAGGTTTTACTAAATAATTATTTATATGAAAGTAAGTATCGACTAATTATTTTTTCATGTATACCTACTAAACATTTTATAAACTGATGCCTTCGCGCTAGATGTACGGAGGATTTGTTGTGAAGCTGTGAACAGCTTCACCAACTATGAATAAAAATTACATAGTAAACTATGATTAGTTTACTATATTCTAATTTTTATCCGAACTTTCAAAAGATTCTGAAAAAATCATTATACCTAATGGCTTCTTTCCATTCTTGGGCTGCTTTGAAAAATAGAACCACAATCGTATAACTTTTCTGCTTCTTTTCAAAAATCTTACTGAAAATACATCGAGGTAATATACTTATAATAATTATAATAGGTATTGAGGTCCCCTGACACTTTTAATTAACTAGTTAAGTTGTCCACACTATATAGTAAATATATAGGTATTTAAAAAAAGGGTTGACTTGGTATCATATAAATAACTTTGTGTACTTGAGAAAACAGTTATTTTAAAATCACAGACAGACATTTCAATTTTATTTATAATAATGTAATAAACAAGTAAGATAAAGGATGTACTAATACTATCTACGCTTTATTATATTATCTATATTTTTAGTGTAGTATTAAAATGCCTTTGTATACTTTATACTTTCATTATAAATTAAAGTAACACTAAAAATTATCTTTTTTGAAAAATAAACTTCGAAAACTACTCAAGATCTAATATTGTACATTATTTACAGACGTCTACGCGTTCGTCTCAGTGGCAATATAATATTCGACTGGCTGTTAAATCCTCTTATTGGAGTTTTTACAAGACTTTTCAATAGCATTATAATGCTTGTTGTCGAGTTAAATATTCGTAATGCTGCACAAATGGCAATTATCTCCATCAACTCTAGTATTGCTGACGTTGTTAAATATCTCGAGTCTTTTAACAACAATTGACGACGGAATCGGAAATAATATTGAAAAATACATGGTATGAATTAAAAAAGGGTCGTTTTGTTTTATTTCTTCATACATTTCATATTCTGTAGTAGTTTTACTATGGTAGGAAAATGCATATCATGAAAATGTTGTCAAATGCAAGCAATGCAATCATAAAAACCAATTTTGGCAATGAATACACTGTAGTGACGTGGTACGATACAGTTATGCCCGACAACGCAAAAGTGCGCTGTATCTCTTCCGCGCCTGCTCCCGCAAGCGTGAACATGACCGCATATCAGTGCTAACCATGGCTGACAAATAAAAGTGCTAACTGCTATTACTGTAACATATTCTAAAAAACTTAAAGGCATACTCAATTCGTCAGTTCTTCTCAGGTCTGAGGCTTCTTCCATGGACGAATTAGAGACTGGACCTGACATAAAATACAAATGTATGAAAACTAGTTCAACCAAGTGACGCATAACGCCAGTATATAAGTGTATAATCTATGCATAACGCACACAAAGATTTTATTACATTATTATAAACACTGATACTCAATACAATATTTCTAGTGTTTGAACGTAATCGATAAAATACATATATCGATGAACCAATGAATGACATTTTAGACATTGGTTAGGATAGTCACCATATTTTACATCTTTTAATTTAAAATATCTGTATTTATTATAATAATTTAAAATAAATGAATTAAAGAGGCAATAATAATGTGTCAAATAATAATTATTTTTTAATTTGATTTATATAAATACGATGGCATTGATGGCAACATTCTGTTGGCCTATAATAATGTTAATAAACAAATGAATATCGGGTGTATATTCCATTAATATATAATAAATATTATTTTGTAAATATTAAAAAAATATTAAGCTAATTTAATTAAATAAAGTGATTTTGTTGATTCTGTTATTGAACTATTTTAATTGGCAATTGATTGTCTCGGGTAGTTATAAAAATGTGACACTGTCCTAATATTGCTCAGTTATTAATAAACATTTGTGAAATTAGGAAAAAGAAAAAGTGATTGCAAATTGTGAAAAAGTGAGTGTTGGATCGTGAAAGTAAAATAATTAGTGCAAGTGGTAAAGTGTTTTATTACAAATCGCCAACCCAGAAGTTTAGTGCTAAAACATTATTGTTTGATTTTGTGTAATTTATGTGTTGAAATAAAATGATCTTTATTATTATTACAATGGAAAAATATTCCAAAGTATATAAATGTGGTATAAAATAAAATAAAAAATTAAGTACACATACTAATTATAATTTTTGCATTTATATTTTTATTTGATTTAGAAAATATTTTTATAAATTTATCGTCATCAGATTGTAGGATACTGTGATAAAAGTATTTTATGTTATTGTACTGTACAAATAACACAATTCGTTCAGTAATTTCGTCAAATATCGATATATTTTTCGACATTGTCAAGCACTAGTCGATGTCAAATGGACTCACTCGACAGTTTTGTCATTTGTTTTGAATGGTATAATCCAGCCCGTTTATGATGTTTGTCAGATGTCAACAATACATAGAAATATCGACTATATTTAACATAGTTGGATAATATGACATTTTATTTTACATTTAATTAAATTGTTCGATAAATAACAATAAATGTAATAAAATAATGTATTTACAAGTGAAAAGAAATACAGCTGCTTCCGCCGTTATAATTTTTACATCATTTAACAGAACATTTAGTCATTTTTTGGAGATGTTTTGTTGACAAGTAAGTGCTTGAGACTGACACAAGAAACAAACGATCTAGGCTAAAATTCCCTGGTTACTGACATGACCGTTAAAGGTACGTCCGCTTATATGTCTGGTCCAGTGGTTAATTCGTTCATGGCTTCTTCTTTCCGAACTGCCAACTGGTATTAGACACATGACGTTCAGTAAAAAAATGTAATAATTTAATGCTAAACAAACAGTTAACTAACGCGCTTACTCTCTTTAACTTTAATCTGTCTTTGCCATGGTAACCGTTGCTATTGTCTGACAAATGATATGTAATCTATACATACATATAATAAAATTCTAACTAAGTCGAATCTGTACATTAAATATTTTTTGGAAAATCTTATTGAAATAGACATTATTATCGATACAGAGGCTAAATCTATAGTTTTTAGAATTTTTGTCTGTCTGTCTGTTACCGCATCACAGAAAAAATACTGGAGGGATTTTGATGAAGTTTGGTATGGTGATAGCTGGTTATCCGGGTCAACATAGAGGATACTTTTTACCGCGGGAAAATATGTTTAAAGAGTATTAGAACATTTAGAGTTGCTATGGAATATTCATTATTTTGCACACATTTTGGGGCGTCTAGATAGCTTAAGTTCCACATCTTAAGGAGCACCGTTCCTAAATAACTAGAGACGGTTTTTCCTGCATCATAATACGTATTGATTTAAATAATAATTAAGGTATTAAATATTTAGAATTAGGTATGTAGTAGAAGATATTTCTGGTTTTGATTCTATTGATAACATCATAAATAGACAAAGGGTTTTAAATAGCTTGTCGTATTCGTTTGAATAAAGTTATTATAAATCAATGAAAATGAAATAATAATAGCGCAGTGAGCAGTGTACAGTATACGTATGTATGGGGAAGAATTTTGCCTTTTTATTTTTAATTTTTTTATATTAATATGTTTATTTTTATAATAATTTTTATTTTTAATTTTGCTCAGTATAACCACGGTAATGTAATGCATACAGTATTCCATCTTCATACAAACGGTCGGAAATCGAGTTATACCTACTCGCGTCGCGTTCGGTATACACTCGGTACACAATCGAGCAGGGCTGCCCAATCGTATAATTGGATACGAAAATTGTATCAGGTGGTTATGTTATATAACTTTTATAATTGGATACATTAAAAATTAATAATTAATAATAAATAAATCAGGTAATTTCGCGAATGTCAAACAAAAAAATATCGAGACATCGAATATTTCTTAGTAATAAATATAAAATAACAGGTATTCTATCTCCATACAAACGGCCGGAACGCGAGTCATACCTACGCCACGGTAATTTATATATCTGTGCCTCCTGTGATGAGTGATATAAGTCGAGTTGTACCCTTTTTGTGATTTTTACATAGAAATAATCAGAAAAAAAATAGGATTTTGTTGGTCTAACTCACGTTCTTTTATCTACTATAGTTTCGAAGAAAATTTTGTGCAAAGTGATATAAGTGACAGTGTTTTTGCAAAAATATCGTGAATATAGATATATTTTAAGTTGTAACCCCTATACTATTGCTGTACACACTATTTTTCGTGCTTCGTGGTATAAGTGCGATTGTATTAATTTTAACATTTTATTTTTTAGTAAATTTATCGTGAATATTGATATTATTAGAGTTATATCACTTTGAACAGATTTTTGTCAATACTGATTAGGGTACAATTCAACATGTACCTACTAATCCTAATTCTGTACAAATCAACTTTTATGTGTAAACTATTATAAATTGAATTGTATCTAAAACTCAAACCAAATCTAAATTAAAAACGTATGAAAAACAAGACGTGCTAAATGATACAAGTGCTGGGATACACCTATAAACTTTTAACTTTTGTGGTTTTGGGATTTGGTTTGGTTTGGTTTTGGGTTTTATGATGGTATGCAATTTTTTTCGCGATTTTGGAGCAGTGATTTTGCATGAACTTGATCCTTCAAAAACAATTATGATGAGCGCGTGGACTGTCAAGTGGTTAGTCGTCTTTTACGACACCCTCAAAATGTAGGGTTGGTGACTTTCAGTATTCTCAATCACCACACGGACAGTTGCAGTTAGTAGTTTCCGAACTGAATCAGATGGTGTACCTTCTTACAGACATTTTTATTATCATTTCCGAAATCTCGAATTGCTAAAATTATGGATTTAGCCACTAGTCACATGGCGAACATGAGTTCACAAGACCATATTGAAGCTTAAATTGAACGAACAGAACAAAATAATAATACCAATGAAGACGGCATTGGATATCATGTAAGAGAACTTATTGAAGGATCGCTGCCAGTAAAACCTATAGAAAGTCCAGTCCCTACTATCCACGAACACAAATATTCAGAAAAATCTGCAAATAATTTAACAGAAATGGTTATTAACAATAATAAGACAAATGTAACAAATGACAATGATTCCAAAAACCCTATGATGATTTAAACCTTACAAATTCATCCAGCGATTGGTGATTTTGTGACGCACGACATGGCCACACCACCTCAGAAGATGATCTTCAACTGAACTTGACTGTGACGTGAAGCTCAGGAGTGTGTTAAGATAGCGCTGCCCAGCACTCGCCTCCGTATAAAAGGACTGGTCGGATGATGCTCTTGTTTATCTGTTCCTTGAACTTGGGCGGTATTCTGCGATCATAAACCACACCTGTGGCCTCCAGCTTCCCTTATATAGGCTTAACCGTCGTGATCTTTGCTTCGTCGTGATCGATGCTTTCTGAATTTCTTCGACTTAACGGTTGGTTCAAGCCCTATGTGGATGGTGCTGGAGACCGGACTCCCGCAAGCCATATACTCGGTCTTCGCGATATTTAGTTTGACACCGCCGTTCTCAAGCGTACCCTTCTACAGGTTCACCCTATGCTCCATCTCTACATGGCTCTTATCAACGAGCGCTTTATCATTGGCATACATCATCAGCCATGGAGGCTGGTCCTGGATGCATGCCGAGATAACATCTAGTACTATGTTGAGTAAGAACGAACAGTTCTGACCACGGAACCACCGCCTTGTTAACTAACTTTCGTGAAACTATATTAGTTCCCATTGAGAATAGTTAAGTTACATTCGTATTCTAAAATGATGGTGATAAGATCTCAATTTACCGCTCTTAAGAATTTTGATAAAACTGTGCCTTATTTGTAAGTGCATTATTGATTTTGAAGAAGTTTAATAAACGATGACTGTTTTTCTAAAACTTTTATTTATTTACACAATAAATATGCATTTTAGTGAGGGGTATAACTTGAGTTGTATTATTTAACACATATTTCAAAAATCCAATATTTTAGCAAAGTGATACAATTCAGCTAAAATATGAAAATAGGGGACTGATAAGTAAAAAAATCTCATCTTTGGGGTAGTATATTTATCATTTGTTTGAGCAACATTGCGCTAGGAACATATTCCAATGAGTTATTAGATATTTTTACTTCATGTATATCAATTTACACAACGACAACTTATAGGTGCAACATAATTAACTGTACTTGTACCATTTATCACGTAATTTTAGCATGTACTAGAAATAAAAAATAGGTACAACTCACAGGTTTTTCAATAATTACTTTAAAAGTATAATATTTACCAGAAAAATTTAAATGCACAGTGAAAGTGAATGTTTTTATCTACAAAATAAAGTACTCAAGTTTAACCTAGCCCACTTAGAACGTGAACTAGAATTTTTTAAATCTTGTTTTTGCTCTCCTGCAAAATGTAGATTTTTTTTTATACTATTCCGAATTAGTGCTTGACTACGTTCCACCTGATGGTAAGTGGTAACGCAGTCGTAGATGGTAAGTCGCACTAATTCAGTAGCCACCTATTCACTCTTGCCTTGAAGACACCCATATTATAATCGGACGGAAACAAAAAAAAAAACACCGACGCAGGCCGGTTGTTCTAATCCTTAGCCGTACGTATAATAAATGACGTAGCGAAACGCTTCGTGCGGACGGGTGGAATGTCCACGACATAAGGATGGAGATGTAGATTTTTGACTTGTATCACTTGTCACAGGAGGCACAGATATACATTACCGTGCCTACGCCTCTATAGTTGTTATAACTCGCGTCATCTAAAAAGAACGCTGGAAGAAAGTGGAGGGGGTATGTTTGCGCATGGGTATACTCGCGCACAAAAGTACTAAGCCTATCATTTTATTTTTCATAGCATTTCGCTCGCGGCTTCTTAAATTAGTTATTAGTAGGGACATTGAAAAATATATTAGATAGAATATCATTAAATAGAATTCTATTCATTATTAAAATATGTTTGATTCAATATAGAATGTTTAATCTACTTACAAAAAATTAAATTAATACGTTTAATACATTTTTTTAATTATTAACTGCATTATTATCAGACATTCTCTTTATAAAACAATATGCGTCAAAAATAATTTTTCTCTCTTTTCTATATATAAAACCATTTCGTAATTAAAAGCTTTTGTGCGCGATGGTATTTCGAACTGACGAACCAATAGCACGGTAATATTACATACAGTATTCCATCTTCATACAAACGGTCGGAAATCGAATTATATACCTACGCGCGTCGCGTTCGGTATATACTCGGTAGACAACCGTGCGGGGCTGCCACATCGTATAATTGGATACGAAAATTGTGTGAGGCAGTTTTGTTATGTAACTTTTATAATTTGATACAAAAATAAACATTTTATTCCTCTCGTAACTTCGCTAATGTAAACAAAAAAGTATCGAGACATCGTATGTTTTAAAAATAAAAATTAATTTAGTAAATTAAAAATATAAATTAAAGTATTTTTAATTAAACTTTTTATCCGAATCTTTATACTATTAAATATAAGAATGAAGCTTTTCTTGAGGCGCAAATATTTTTAAATCTCAAATTTATAAGGGTCACATACCACCCTTACAAACTTGACATTTTTTAGTTAAATCTCCTAATAATAGTTTTTAAATAAAAAATATAATATTTGAAATCACAAAATTAGGAAGAAACTCAAGTAGGTAGATGAAATTAAAATACTGGGCGGTGGCGGGCAGCCCTGTCGCGTGGGTACGTGCCGCTCGGCTGTAGGTAACTATTTCAAGGACAGGCCCGAGTTGGAGTACTGTACGCATTACATTACCGTGGTATAACTCTATAGCCTGGTTGTATTTTTTTCATTTTATTTAAAATTTAATTTAAATGACAAACTTGCAAAGTTGGTGCCAAAAGACAAAAACTAAAGAAATTGTGGGCTAAAGCAATAAGATGGCCATAATTGACGAAATCACTATCTTTCTCTTTAGGACTATATGGACATCATTTTACAGACAACGATTTTAACCTCAGACTGAATGTAAATAGATCATACGTATAGCGCCCTCCTTTCAAGAAATCTTCCCCATTAAGTTAGAATTAGACAAACTAGGGAGTGAGAAAGATGAAGATTATGCCATCTGTTGGGAAAAAACACAAATAAAGTGATGGTAAACAGTATTAGTTTTGGAGCGTTTTTAATAAATTATTTTTGTTAATTACAAAAAGTGTTTGTGATGTGTTCATTAAAAGTATCTTGCTGTATTCGTGAACATTTGTACATAACGAATCGTCAAGTTTTTTAAATTACATTTTAGAAAGCAACAGAAATATTAAGTGAATTAATATGATATATTATATAGATTATGTGATTACAAATTATAAAATAATATTATTTGGACTTAGAAATTTTGAAACATCTTTAGCTGTAATTTTTTAATCTGTCAAAGTTTAAAATACTTTTCAAAAAGCTTAAATATTCCAGATTTCTACTATTTTCAATATTATACAGTTAATTTAAAAAAAATATATTTTTAATACTTATAATAATTGTCAGACTGTAAACATTAGAAACACTGGTTTGAGCGATAATTGTGCAGGTTATGACTGATAGCTTATTTCCATCTTCTGTTTTAATTACATTTAAAACATGACCGAATTCAAATAATTTACGGCCTTTTTTATCGTTTTGACCTCTAATCCGATCATTTTTTTATCGGTAAAAAAACCAAATTTTATTATTTTTTGCATTATTTAGGCATAACTAATATTATTTATTACACTTTACATCACTAAGTTTTTCTTATGTAACACCAGGGCGCTCTTTCGACCATGGACTTATTAAGTCCATGCTTTCGACTTTCGACAGAAGTGCTGCCCTCTATAGTTCGTGCACACTCCCTATAAAGCTATGGATTAATAACATTAAACATAATATTTATATTATAGTTCGTTTCAACGAATAGTTCCTATGGCGTTATGTTGGCAGCGATGTTTTCCAGTGCTGTCACATTATCTATAATAACCCACCTCAAAGTAAGGGTAATTTCAAGTATGTTTTTTTAGTTAGATTCTTATATATTTACAAATTATTCGATTTCTGTTTTCTAATGTTTACGCGAATTTCACTCATTATAATAAAATTATACAAGGATAAATTCACTATTTTGATATTCGATAATTAATCTGTGACTACATCAACCTGTCAAGACTCAAGAGTCTTTGTCAAGTTGACTTTACTTTTTCTCGAGCTGGCGCGTTATACGAATCGGTGTATCACTGGATAGTTTTTATTGAATTGTATTTACAAACCAGAAATTAATACAAGTGCTTAAAAATAAGTAATTGTCAGATTTATGTAAATAAGTTTCTACTATTGTTCTTTTGTGTTTATAATATTGTATTTCTTACTCTGTCTGCTGTCATTGCATTATACTTTTTGTAAGTCTGTTTGTAAATGAGTGTCACTTGTCAGTGTGTCAAAATAAAATAATTAATTTACAAGTGCACGTGTTTAAATTGTGCGTTTTAATTCCACAAATATTGTTAAGTTACATAAAAAATCATGGGTAAAGTGAAAAAACTAAAACCGTCACAGGTTGGAAAAAATGTCGCTCTTGCAGACCAGATAGAAGCATCTAATACTGTTAAAAATAAAAACAGATTAAAGGGAAGAAATAGACATGAGGATGACGAAGATGTAAGTTTTTATCTCAGATTATTGACATATTAATAATCTAAGGTTTTTATCTATTAAGCTCAGACTATCTAATAGTATACTTAGAGCGTCATAGAACTGAACAAGAATCCAAACATTAACGTTTTAAAATAATATACAAATTACATTTTGTATACTGAGTGATCAGTAATTAAATGTTAATAAATAAGGTTGAACTGTACACTCTCTCTGTAATCTATGACATAGATTTAAGGGAGGAGAGATGGTGGGGGAGGAGGGGAGGGGTGAGAGGGACTCCCCTTTAAAAGGAAAAACCGCGGAGGCTAGTAGTTTTCGAGATATTTAATTTTCAAAATTTCTATTTTTGAGGTTAAATTATTGTAAAAACAACTTTAACACTAGAAAGATGGAAAAATCAACTTACCAAGAAAGACGGCAAGGGGTCATTTGACCCCATGCTTTATAAATAATTTTTATATAATAAAATGTCCCAAAAACTGTTAACAAATAAGCGAAAATGACATTAAGCTTCGATTTGACTTATATTCATTATGTTTGTATTAACTCCTACTTATAATTTTACTTATAAATATGAAAAATAAAAGTTTTTGACTGATTGCATTGTCCATACAAAGGTTTTTTACATATGCAAACCTTGTTTGCTTGGTTTTTGCAACCAAAAGAGGAGCAATAGCACATTTTCCTTGTACTGTCAGTAGACGACTTTGTTGGTATTGGTGGCTGTTTTGGTGCCGCTGAGGCATCAGATTCATTGGAAATGTCACTGAGTTCAAGAGCTAGCTGGAGTATAAAGTTTCGTCAGTCTTACTTAATACTGTCTTGTTTGTGATTTTTTGATATAATTGCACTCCATAATCCATACACTTATGGAAGCCAAGTCCCATGTACCTATTATAAAAACTTGCACTATCTTTGTGATGCTGCTTTGACACTATATTTTCTGGCCATTTGGTCAACAACATCAACCCTATATTTTTTTGAGTTATAAAATGTTACACTGACACGTTTTATCTTTACAGAATTTTTGTTTTCTTGAATTCTGTAGCTATAAAAAAAATATAACATCTATTCACCACTAAGATATTTCAAATCATATCTAATAATGGAAAGAATGGAATAGGTAATTTACCTATTGGCATATTATCATCTGAGTCGTCATTACTCGAAGAGTTTCATTTGGGTGTATGTATGTATCTCTTCTTTGGGATCATTTTAGTATCTATCTACCCTTTACTCTCACCATCTGATTAACTTCAGACAAAGATTGTAATGATGCTAATATTTGATTATCAGTCAGTTGAGGCATCTGAATAACACTGTTTAGGTACTTGACGAAAGCAAGAGAAGAAATAAAGTACAATCGGGTTCATTATATTTTACAACTTCAGCTAATATAAATATTATGGTTTACCCGCTATTGGATAGGTTTACTGTAACAAATACTGCATGGGTCAAATGACCGGTGCCGTCTTTGTAGGTAGGTGTATGATTTATTTATGATGTAATGATTATATAATAATGGAAACATTTTTAAATGTAAATTTGTACCATTTTAATAAAAGTCACGAGAGGATATGTCAAAAAAATTTGTTTTGGAATTATTCAACCCTAAATTTCAAAAAGGGTCATATGACCGTCTTTCTAGTGTTAAGCATTGCACTTAAGGTTCAATTTACATTGTTTTATATTTCAACTAGAATAATTACCTAAACACAATTGGTGACAGTTTTAAGACAACTTTTGCGTGTATAATAATAGGTACCGGAAAAAGTGGCTACGGATTTTGAAAAAAGTTCTAAAAGTTCTAGGGCACTCGCCGGCCGCTACCGCGGCACGCTCGCTTCGCTCGCTCGGCTCTTGCGTTGTTTTAACTGTTCTAACCTTTTTTTTTTTAACGTTGGGAAATGCATTTACGCACGACGTGTGGGACTCACCGGCGTAATACAGCCAGTACTACCCACTAAAACCTAACAAAACCTTCCCCCGTCTTAATGGGGCGTCGCAGGATCGCTTGCGCATTCAACTACGACGCCCCGACGGCAGGTCTGCCGAAGCAGACCACCACAACCATGGGGTTGTTCCACAGTCCACTCTGCCACTGTACCAGGAGCAACCCGCATGGTACACCGCCCCCCGAAGAGGGCCACCTCCCACCGCCCACCGAAGTGGGCAACCTCCCTGTGCGTTTCTTAGTTTCGCGCCCGGTTGGATTGCCGGGCACTACTGAGCCCCCCCACCACGACAAGGTGAACGCACGTTGGGGGGGAGGGTAACTGTTCTAACCTAACCAACCTAGAAAGAAAGGTTTCTGCCAAAAAATAACCTAAACCTATTTTGATAAAGCTTTCCTGCGTGGAAATAAAAAACAATTGTAACTGACACTAAAACTGATATTTCAAATTGGCGTCGCTTTTCCTATTTAGCTAATTCTGACATTGACATATCACATAACCAATAAACTATGTACCTGTTTTTATTTGTTTTTACGTACAAATAAATCAAGATTTTAACAATTAAATTATGTATTTAACTACAATAATGATAGATAATAACTCAGAACATAGAATATTGTAACGAACTTTGTGAAAAACATCGATAAGTGCGTGTATAAATGTGGTAAAATTACATAAAAAGTTGAAACATGAAATTTTTTTTTTACAAAACTATTTGTTTCCGCGCTCTCAAACTTTATATATAGGCTTCTAATAGAGAGACCTATTAGTGAAAAAAATATGAAGTTACAACTCAATGTTATAGATTGTACAGTTGAGCCATAAATAAAAATAGCCAATGGATTTTTTATACTAAAGACAATAAATTTTATCTAATATTAAACTATCTCTCTTTCGCAATAGAACTAATGTTAAAAAATTGAAAAGAATATACAATATTATTCTTTTATTCATAATTTGCAAATTCATATACAAAACTAAAAATTACACTACTGTTATTGATTTTGACATTTATTTTGGCAGACTTCTGTATAATTATTTAGTCTGAGGTATTAAGAAACAGTTTAAGTTAATTAAATATATATAGTGAAAATTATTTTTTCTTTATTCTAAATTATTTTTTTAGTTTGTTACTGCAGATTTATCCAAGAAGATTTTAAAAGCAGCACGAAAGCAACAAGTTGAACTTGGAGGTGGATTACCATCTTCCAGTGCATCTCTCCCAATATCATTTGATGGTATATTATTTTCTAATGTTTTATGACTAGTTATTCATCTGAAAACGTACATTATATTTCATAACATTTTAGATCCCACTTCTGATAATGATGTAGAATCCGATCATGATGATCTTGAACCAGACACTTATTATGATAATATTGAGATCAATGAAGAAGATGAAGAAGCTCTCAAAATGTTCATGTCTTCTAATCCAGAAAAAACTCGAACTCTGGCTGATATAATTAAGGACAAAATAACAGATAAGCATACAGAACTCCACACTCAATTTTCAGATATAGAAACTTTGAAATTACAGAATATTGATCCAAGGTAAATCCAACTAATATAAACACTTAATGACATTTTTTTGGTAATCGATTTTGAACAAAATTATATTTGGTAATATTGTTTTTAGAATAAGAGATATGTATCAAGGAGTCAGAAATGTTTTACAAAAGTATAGATCAGGAAAATTACCTAAGGCATTTAAAATGATACCTCATCTACAAAATTGGGAACAGATATTGTATATTACCGAACCCACAACGTGGTCTGCAGCAGCTATGTACCAGGTGATTTTTATTAAATACTTTGAGTAAATTGTTTAAAGTTACAGCATCAGTCAATTAAAATGTATTATATTTGTTTCAGGCGACACGAATTTTTGCTTCTAATTTAAAGGAGAAAATGGCACAAAGATTTTACAACTTAGTATTGTTACCCAGAGTTAGGGATGATCTGGCGGAATACAAAAGATTAAATTTTCATCTGTACCAAGCTCTTAGAAAAGCATTATTCAAACCAGGTGCATTTATGAAGGGTATATTATTGCCTTTGCTAGAAGTAAGTATGATATATATAAAAACTAATATTTGTCAACACAATCATATGAAATTAATATTATCTTTTACAGTTCTTCATTTTAAAATACTTATATATACCTATGTTTATTTTAGGCTGGTGACTGTACATTGCGGGAGGCTATTATTGTTGGTTCAGTTTTAGCTCGTAACTCAGTTCCAGTACTTCATTCAAGTGCAGCACTTCTTAAGATTGCAGAAATGGACTATACTGGGGCAAATTCTATATTCTTAAGGATTTTATTTGACAAAAAGTATGCTCTTCCTTATAGAGTGGTAGATTCAGTTGTATTTCACTTCTTAAGGTAAATAAAATTAAGGCATCTAAATGATTGTATTTATTGCGCTTAGCAGTCAATTTCTTATTTATTAAATTACATCTGTGATTTAACTTTTTCTGAAAAGGTAAAAAAATAATAAATTCATATACATATATATCAATGTTGATTACAAATAGAAATTTTGGTTACTATTTTAAAGCTTTCTCATCAGATAACATTCTTCTTAAAATAAAACACGAATCTCCAACATTAAATCATTAATTATTATATTCAATTTGCAGATTCCAAAATGAGCCAAGAATGTTACCTGTGTTATGGCACCAGGCACTTCTTACTTTTGTACAACGTTATAAAGCAGATATTTCTTCAGAACAAAGAGATGCTCTTTTAGAACTTCTAAGAAAACAGTCACATCCAACAATAACTCAAGAAGTAAGACTGCAAAAGTTTAACTCTTTTATAGCTTATGTTATAAAATAATTAATTAGCCTATGTGTCTTACTTGTCCAACTTTTAAACACAAATATAATATATTATTAATACAGGCAATTTAATTAGTAAACTTTTGGATAGTAAAGTAAGATGATCTTTGATAATATTTCATTTTCAGTAATCTTATTATATTTGTAATGTCAAAATCTGTCTGCAATTTCTCTCCTGTAAGATCTAATTATTTACAGTAACATAAAATTTCTTTGATTTTAAAAAACTGTATTGCTTTTACACAATATGGTGAAAATCACTTTGCAGCCTTTTCTTTTAGTTTTATTTTAAATCACTAAAAAAATAAAATTAGTTTTATACTCATTTTTATTTGTAATTAATACTAATATGTTTGATCTTTGGTTATTTATTTTCATACATTATTATCTTTTCAGATACGAAGAGAATTACAAGCGGCTAAATGCAGAGATTTAGAGATCAATGAGTCAATACCGAATTGTATGGCTGTGGAATAAAATTGTAGTTAATACTGTTAAAAATATGTATATCTTATTTTTAATAAATTTATCTATTTAACATGTAACGTTATTGTCATTTAGTTTCATTTTATAAAAATAAAAAACAATAGTTACAGGTGGAATTAAATAAATGAATAGATATTGACTAACAGTGAATAAATATTTTGATTAGACACTGTGTGTAAAAATTAAAACTATTACAGACCCTCTTTTTGAATTAGAACTACTTTAGGTGTCACTCAATTTAATGGAAAAATGAGTGTCACGGAAATGAATGTTGCAGAAGTGAGAGAAAAAATATTAGTATAAAAAAATACATATTTATATTTTTATAATTATTGTAATTTAAAAATATATATTTACAGTCAAAACCTGCGGTTTCATCCGCGTTCAATTTACAAAAAAGAGCTCTTGTGTTATGTTATAGAGTAACTCTACCTCGTTTCACTTGGGTTCACCTCTATATATTATATAACATTAATTGGATATTGTTCAAACAATTACTAAAATCGCGATTAAAAAATGGGGGGTGGGGGTAGGAGGGTGAAAAATACTTAACAAGCTATTCTTAAACCTACCAAATATACAAAAAAATTGTCGAGCCAAACGGCTCCTCGGTGTTGATGTCACGGTGTTTGTGGTTGCACTCCTCCGAAACCGGAGGAGACATAAACACCGTGACATGAGGTACTACTTAAAATACTTGAATTATGTCTACTACTATGAAATATGTTAAATCATTTGTTGAGAGTTTTAAAGCTCTTGAAGAGGCAAATTACATCTACTTTAAATATGATGAATGTCAAGTCAACTATCCCCTAACAATTGATAAAATGAATCAATATGATGGTTGATTCAATTTGCTATTAATTGAGTTGTGACTGCAATGTTTTGTAGATAGAAACTCTTAGAAACATAAATAAACAATGAATATTTATACATGTCGATTCTTAATAAAATATTGTTTCCTAATACATCAGTTTTTTTGCATCATATATTATGGAATTGCCAAGGTGATTCCTATTTTTTGGTACTTAAGACTCATGGTCAAATGTTCATGCTATGCAGCTCATATTGAAACGAAAGTATGGGTTTGGTTAAGTGATAGTAGAATACATTAGACAAATTGAATAGTTTTAAGGACTTGCTGTCTTATGTTGAGTACGATAGATATATAAAGTTGACACAAACATTCATCCGTGTCGATTATATTTCACCATAGCAGATAATGTTTAACGAAATTAACTGAAAAATGTTAAAGGAATCTAAAGAGAAATTGAAGTGAAATAAAATCCGAAATATTTAAAGAACTTTAAATTTATGCATTATCTGGTGTTTAAATTAGGTAAAGCAACAGGCACGTCTATTTGACTTGTCACAAAGTGTACTGAAGGTAAAATTGAGCATCTACAATCACATTTTCTTCCAGACACAAAATCAAATGATCCTACTTTAGAACCACAATTTTCACAATGTAATTTTCCCCTAGTCCATTGTTCTTCATCAACCTTTTTCTTTATCCAAGCCGGAAGCTGGTCTTCTAGAAGATATATAAAATACTTTGGATTATAACTCTCACATTTTACATTACAACTTGAGTTGTATGTACTGACCATGCTATGTAATATATGACGACATTTATGGCATTTGATAACTCCTGACTTTATATCGTTATTCATTTTTCATAAATGAATTCATTAGTATATTATCTTCAATTACTTATGTTAATTCCATAAATTTCTTATTAAATTTTTGAACTCTTGGAGAACTTGATCTCAGGATACTTAGTGCTATTTCATTGTTTACACAGACACCAGTGGGCAGTGAGTAGTGACCACTGAATGGCACTGAGTACTGACCAGTGGTCTCGTTCTTGTTCTCGAATGTCAAGTGTCAACAGTCAACACTATTAACAGTCAACACTCAACAGTTCTGAATCAGTCTAGTCAATATGCGAAATCGGTATGCCATCGGTAAAGTTGCCACTTGCCTACAAAAATCTGTATATTTGGATTTTGGACCCATAATCAATAGATGAAAATAAAACAATATTCATTCAAATAAAGTTTATTTATTATTATTTCCATTATCATTAATATTTTAAAGATATTGATATGACCATAAAGATACCAAAATAGTAAATACAAATAGGTATCGATGGTGTGTCTAAGACCTACCCTACCCCAGCCTGCAAATTTATGATATTTGCAATGAAAAAAATACTAATCGATAGATTTTCAATAGCTCAATTTAACTACGTAGCCCTTTCAAATTGCTCACCTTTAATTATTTAATTAAAAATCAATAAAGTCTTTGAAAAAAAAATTAATTTATCTGTATATTCAAACTCCTATATCTTTTGATGTATACAATATTTCAAATTGCTCAAAGTTCTAAAACACTGCTCAAGTTGCATTTGTAATTGCTCAAGTAGAGTTTTTACCAGCTCCACTTTCGCTGATTATTAAATAATTAAAAGTATAGTTGTAATAAATGTAACGTAGGTTAAGTGAGCGTGCGCATGCGCACCGCGCATTGTCGGTCGGCCTCGGCGGGCTTGGACAATCGTTCCAATTCAACGTCTTAATTCTGTTTCTCGGTGGATTTCTTTAAATTTATTGAATTTATGAATTGTTCACATTACGTGATTCCACTTCAGATATTATAACATAAAGAACAGATCTGGAATCTACCAATAAATGAAAATTAATACCAACAGATAAATTAATATTATGATGAGGTTATGAAACACTTGATTTTTTTGCCTTGCGACTCGCGTTACTGTTTGCGCGCATGCGCAGCACTCACCTATCTATACGTTAAATTTATTCAAACTATTTATATTTATTTAATAATTAAGGAAAGTGGAGCTGGTGAGAACTCTACTTGAGCAATTACAAATGCAACTTGAGCAGTATTTTAGAACTTTGAGCAATTTAAAATATTGTATATATCAAAAGATATAGAAATTTGAATATACGGATAAATTAATTTTTTTTCAAGGACTTTATTGATTTTTAATTTTATAATTAATGGTGAGCAATTTGGAAGGGCTACGTAGTTGAATTGAGCTATTAAAAATCTATCGATTAGTATTTTTTTCATTGCAAATATCATAAATTTGCAGGCTGGGGTAGGGTAGGTGTGTCTAAGTCTAATAGCATCCAGATGACAATGGTCTAATAGACACATGGTGACAACTAACATGTCATGGTAAACATTAAAGCAGATTACATGTTGTTTTTAAAAATAAAATTAAAAAAAATAATTAAATTATTCCTATGATTTGATTCAAAGTAGACTACTGTAAGTAACTAATGTGTAAACTTTCTCATCAAAGTTAATAAAATTAATGAAAAATAAAACCACGAATTCTTTTTTATATACAGTTTGTTTAGCAATTCCCTAAAACATCAAGTTGTAAGACACAAGTCCCGGAAATAAATATAAATATCAATATACTCTTGAAGGACTTTTTGGGATTATCCGTATCGTAAAACATAAATGAAAAGGGTTGCCAACTTCGAATTGCAAAATCGGTTAAAAAATAGGGAGATTTTCCACGTTTTCTATGAAATTTAAAAAAAATCGTTACGTTTCGGGATTTCAGTAGGACAGTCCTCATATCGGTAGAAATACCGAAAACCAAATACTTAGTTTTAGTTTTTATATATTAGTATATCTTTTACATTACAGTTTTTGTATTTTTCCTCAGAAATGAGATATTTTCCCGCGGTATAAAGTATCCTATATGTTGACCCGGATAACTAGCTACCGTCATACCAAATTTCATCAAAATCCAGTGGTTTTTCCGTGATGCAGTAACAGACAGACAGACAGACAAAAATTCTAAATACTATAGACTCAGCCTTTGTATCGATAATAATGTCTATTTCAATAAGATTTTCCAAAAAATATTTAATGTACAGATTCGGCTTAGTTATAATTTTATTATATGTATAGGTAATAGGTATGTATTATGTATGTACTCTGCCGATCACGCCTGCCATCAGCTATCGCGAATTTATAGAAACTTTCAAAAAATATATTGTTCATGTAATTTTGTTTATTAATTTTATTATATTTTAATTTGCACATAAAATTATTGATAAGTTTTAACTCGAGTTTAAAAAAAAATCTATTTTTTCTTCGGAGGAGGTCGTGGGTCTAAGGTTTTTATCAAATAAAACAACAAATCGCATGTGCGTGATATTTTTTATTTTCACTGAAATTATTTACGTACTCAACGAGAATTTTGCGCTTTTCATTTATTCATTCAACTATATTGTGCTTGATTTCGTTACAATGACTTTAAGTAAGTACACGTATAGCATTGTACAGTTCGTTCATGTAACAATATTGACGAACAAATATCTATAAATAAATATTAGTAATAATATGGTATAAAAAGTATTTATAAAGCATTATTTTTAATAAATATCTATATAATTTAAGTTGATAAGATAATTCAATATTAATGATAAGACTTTTAAAAAAAATGATTTAAATCATAATAATCGTTGTTTAATTTTACAAGCTAAATGTTACATGTAGGATTCTATTTAAATAGGAAGCAAGCAATTTATTGCACATACAGAAAAACAAGGACGTCATATTTAGTATAAAAAAGGAAATACCCGACTGCTTAGTTGTTTTGTAATATTTTATATTGTATCTATAATATTATTAAAAGAAGGTACATTTATGTGCGAATACAGATACATACTTAACATAATTGCCGTATCAACTACAGGTCTACAGCTAAAATATTAATTATCGCCGTACCTACTTAATAAACATTGGATGACAAGTTAGATAATATTTTAGGGTAAAAAAATAATCATAATTCAAATGTACTCGTATACAAAATACATATTTGTCAAAAAGTAAATAAATTTAACTGTTTTGTATTTTTATTTTTAATCATAATTAATAAACCAGCAGCATATGTTTTAAGACCTGTACAAAACAATTGTTAAGCTTTTACCATAAGA